TTACCAGCTTATGAGATGGTAACGAAATTTACCGGTTACAAGAGCGCACAGAATGCGAAAAAGGTTTACAAATTGACAGACACTTTAATTACAGGTTACAAAATTTATGTTATCAGAGCAGAATAGACCTGTAAGTCTACATAGTTGGTGTGATTTTGGTAAATCGTTTCCAGTTCTCTCATCTGTCCCTATTTTATTTTCTTTGCAGCTAATCTCTATATCTTATTTTCCTCTAAAACTTTCATATCTAGATTATTCTTGTTAGTATTAAGTATGCTTATTATAAATTTGTATTAAAAATATTATGTCACTAATTTAAGTTGATGTACTCTTAAAAGATCACTTGTCTTACTTGTACAACCATTGCTTTCTGCAATAAACTTAAACTTAAATTGGATTGGCCACTGATGGAGCCAATGTTATGGCTGGAGACTTGGGCGAGCTGAAAACATTATTGAGTGCAGAAACCGATTTATTTTATATAAAGTGCACATGCCTCCCACTTCCCTTTGCTCAAGCTACGCATGTAAAAAATTGCCGAAAAGCATTGAGGCACTGTGCCGCAACATATAGTTTTTCTTTTCCCACAGTCCAAAGAGGATACATGAATTGAAGGAATTTCAGGACTTTGGGTAAAACCCCACAAAATCTTGGGCATATCTCAAACACGATATCTTTCACTAGAAAGCGTTGTGTTAAAAATAGTTCAGCAATGGGATAGGTTGAAACTTTATTTTATTTCCTGCTTCTACGAAGTAAACGGTATGCGATCTGCAGACATGGCAGAAGGAATGTGTTGCAAAACCAAATGCTATTTTTTATTTCTATCGTATATTTTGCCCCTAATTAAAAATCTTGAAAACGAGTTCCACGCTGTAAGCTCTCGTTTGCCATACTTATATGCAACTATCAAAGGACATTATCTCTTAATTTTGAGTAACTTTATTAAACAAGATGCGATCAGTAATAATAATAATATTCATTTTAAAAATTAAAATAATCATATTAAAATATCTGACATTTTTGTGGGAACGAAAGCTGAGATGCTTATGAAAAGTAATGTCAATTGTTCTGAAATTCTTGAAGTTAAAACCAATATATTAAAGTTTTACATAGAGTTTTTGGACCAAATAAATTTAGGATTTGATTTCAAGCGTAGAGATATAAAACTTTTACAAATAATAACACCAGCTAAGGTAGTTTCTAAAGGAGATTTACCAATTTTACGTCTTTTGTTGGAAAGATATTTTCTCACTCTTTTTATTTATTTGCTATAAACTCGTTCAAAGGATGGAAGAGAAAGGTAGGATGAGCGAGTGTCATTCCAAGTTTAATTAAGATGTATTGGTTTTTGAAACCAAAAAATTGGGACGTGAATGAGTTTTTTTCACAGACGGGTGGTTTTTTCATATCAAATACCAGACGGGTGATATTTAACCTAATTCCAATACGTAGATTATATTTTAGTTATGAGCAAACTTCTGCCGGGACGTATGTGTCCCGTTCGGATGGAAAGAGTTAATTCCAAAAACTCCAACTCTTCTTCGCGTTTCTTAAAAAGGAGTATTTCGAATATTGTAAATTCATCAATTATGTTACATAAAAAAGGGTTTATGAAGTATTCAAACGTACGTTTAGATAATTTAAGATCGGCAAATCTTTTTTCAAAATCTGCTTTTAAATCATGTGAAAAATTTTTTTGTAACCATGGAAAATGATGAAATATTCTTTTTTTGAGATCATGAATAAAACGACGTAGTTTAGCTTCAAAACTTAAAATAATTTGCGACAAATCAAAAACAGTTTTATTCTCCCCTTGCACATTAGGTCAAATGATAACTTTGCGAAATTAATAGCAGCTAAAATATTGCATTATTTTAATGTAAAAAGATGGCAAACGTTAAAAATGGTGTAAAGGGAGTAAATAAAATGTGAAAACATGACTTGGCATTCGTAAAACAGACTCCTCTGCTTCTTTGTATGTTCAAATGATGAGTATATGTGTTTAAGTAGTACTCAAAAACACTGTCCAATTAGCTTGGTTTTGACACAAGTTATTTTCTTAACATACTCAACCCCCTCTCCATTAAAATGAGCTACATAATAAAATAAGTATGGTCACATGTACATAAATGGTTTCTTCTAGAAATTCCTAAATTAAAAAAAGAAAAATATTTACTACATTTCTCGCAGATATGCCATGAGGAGAGATTTCCAAACCAGTTAGGCTATCTGCACACTTGTCGTCCAATCATAGTTGCGTTATCGCCTCACCCTGAAATTTTGAGCCGAGCACATGCATTTCAACGGAGCTCTGCACACTCGCCGTTATCGGCTAGTTATCGGCAAATCGTATAAGATGCAGAAACGGATAAGTACGGCACTGTCGTTTGCTAATCGTTGTGCACGCATTACTTGTTTACATTTTATGGGGAAAAATAAGGGAGAAAAATTTAATATTTGTATTAAAATTGCATAAAAATTAGTATTTTTTGCATAAAATCTGTGGAAATTATTAAAAAGTGGAGCCAATGTGGATAATTGCATTAAAATTCAATAAATGTGAGCGTTTTAACTGTAAAATATGACGAAATTGTAAAAAGTCTCTGTGTGTATGCACAAAACACATTTCAGGAAAAGAAAAGAAGAGATATTACTGAAAAATTGTTGCAGCACAGTCTATATTTTAAAAATTGCAGATTTTTGTAAATATTTCGCGAAAATATCAACCAGAAAAACAGAAAATACCTGCTCCAAGTGAATTTTTAGACGCCAAATGAATTGAAATACACGACCGAGTGTACGAAAGTGTAGTCGTCATGCAATCGTTGCATCATGATTGTGACAATGAAGCAACTATGATTGGACAACCAATATGCAGAAAGCCTTTGTCGTCATAAAACACTTAATTTTCACTTGAGCTTTCAGTATGCCCAAATTCTCCACCGCTATTATTTATATTCTGAATGCAAATGCTGCTTTGTGACACATTTAGCAAAAATCGCTGGTAACTTCCTGAAAAGAATACGAATGTTTTTGAAAGCTCTATTCACTTTGAGTAAAAAATTTCGAAATTTCAATCCGTAAATTCTCTCAAGGATTTGCATTTTTGTGAAGGCTGCTCATCAATGATCTTTGCGAATCGGCGCAAGTACCTTTGTAACATAGCCATGGCTACGCTACAGGAGATGAAATGTAATCCAAATTGAGGCTGCTATTTTTTTTGCTATCACATACTTCCATTTTCACTATTTATCACCATTAAAATTGACTATTTATCACCAAAAAGTTTGGGCTAAGCTATTTTTAGCGAAAGAGAGGACAGAACAGCAATTTTTGGCGATAGCTAAAAATTCGGAAAAATTTTAGCTTTCGTAGTTTAGCATTTTAGCGATAGGGGAAGTTAGAATCCGGCTGCTGGTCGACACAGATGGCTTTTTGATTTCGAAAAGAACCGCATCAGCAAGAAACTCTATGTTTTCAGATCTACATATTTTAGCACCCTTTCCAAATTGCTTTCCATAATTTTCGTTTTTCTTTGATAAATAATTGCAAAAAGACGCGTTTTTCTTCTAAGAGTTTCATGGAACTTTCGCAAATATCAGCAGCACCAAATTTTTTTTCAACATGGTTGACAACCGAAAAAAGGTTTTCTTTTTTTCGAACAGCCAATCAGCCAAACTTCAAACAACTCACCTTTTGTAATAGCATGATTGCCCAGAAAAAAAAAAAACTTTTTTTTTTTTGAAACGGCTAAAACGGCCGGCTAAGTAAAATAAAATAAACTCATTACATCTTAATTTATCCATTTCCTTTTCCATCTCGTTTTCCGAAAGTTAACAAAATTGTAAAAGCTTACAAAAATCATAAATGGAAATAAATCAGAAAATTTTTGAGGTTATGCAAATAAGTAACTTTTTTTTTTGCAAACAAATGATAAAAAGACACTTTTTTAAATTGGGACATAGGTTCTCACTTATAGTTTTGTTTTCCATTTAAAATTTTCCTTTAATTATTTGAACTTTACAAAAAAAAATTCACTTGAAACTTACAAAATAAACCGGTTGCGCGAACAACGTGTCAATAACGTTTTGAAAGTGTAACTTTGGTTTATAGCTGTCTAACGGTGTATTTTTATTTTACATAAACAAAGTGAAGTTTATGTTATTTTGGTGTATTCCCTACAGAATGGCAACAAAAAACAATGTAAAACTGTCCTTACGAAACTGGACCTTCGCACAGCCAAATTAATCATTGTGACTTGTAGAGACAAATTAAAGTTTTGCAAATGTTCCATCATATCGGTAAAGAACTTTATGTCAGAAAGCCAAGTTTCATTCTCCAATTGTGGGTAATGTTCCGATCTCAATGTATTTTAAAAAGTAAAAAGAGCCAAAATGCTAAGCAAAAAGCCGCATTTGGCTCAAAGAGCCGCGTTTGCCCACCGTTGATATATACTTTATATAAGAGTCAAAGCCGTGGTGAAAAAATTATGAAATGTCGGCTCTGATCATTTCGGTCTTTTCTGGACATCATTTGCAAAGAAATAAATATTATACCAGCATGCTGGTATGTTATATGCCTCGAGCCTTATGGTACAATCTCTTGATAGTGCCAGCAAGCTGGTGTCGTGTATTTGCCCTTGTATTTAGATATATATGTAAGTAACAAAATGTAGCTAGCATTTTTAGCTACGATGATTTTTTTTAGCTCTTTTTAGCCCTTTTTTAAAAAGAATTCGGCTACCACTAAAAAGGATTCGCGGCAACACTGGCTTACACATTATTTTGCCGAACAAAAAACGAATCACAGGCCAACCTCATGGTGAAATAAATATAAGGTGATGTCACTTACATAACCTCATTTTTTCTGCATGCCAATTGCGGCCATGCATTTTGGGGTAGTAGAAAAAGGGGAAAAGATTAGGATTATTTTTACTACTTTTAACGTACTGTTTTCTGGCCGTTTATTGTAATATTTTGATTGTTTTTTTGAGCTCTAGCCTAGGGTAAATAAAACTATTGGATGTCTTATATTCCTTTTTGTTTATTACTGTCGATATTTCGCCTTTAATCTAAAGGCATCTTCAGGACTGCAAAAACACAATATGAATACATATACAAATAATTATTTACACAACGTACAACAAAACATAGCTTACAATCTTGGCTTTGCCTGGTCGACTAAACATATGCGCGAAAATGCATTAACAAACAAACTTGGTGACAATAAGTATAAGCATGAAAATGNCCTAGGGTAAATAAAACTATTGGATGTCTTATATTCCTTTTTGTTTATTACTGTCGATATTTCGCCT